AAAATTTTTCGGTGTAGTGGTTTTTGATTTCATGTTTCTGATTGTTTTAAAGACGTCGTAACTTACTTTTACCTGTACTTTAAGTCAATCTAGTTGTTTGAAAGTTATTTTGAAATATGTTCTATGACCTATTTGATAAAATTAAAAATAACTCAAAAAGCACATGCCAAATAATGAATGAAATTAGTGGTAGACAAAAAAGATGCTCAGGTTCCCTCCCTTAAACGAATATAGTTGATAACAAACATAAATGCGAACCATATATAGCTCATGAATTTAATAAACTCTTTGTTGAAATTGTTCCAAAACTAACAAAAAAAAAATTCTTATACAAGTGCAACATTTAGAGATTTTTGATTACAAATGGATAATTGTACTATCTTCTGAACTATCTTCTGAACTATCTATCTTCTGAACTATCTTCTGAACTATCTTCTGAACTATCTTCTGATCTATCTACTGAACTATCTTTCCAAGAGTATGAAAGCTCTTAAAAAAACAAATTAACCAAAGCTGATGACATAAACAGTAATATAGTCGAAGAATATTTTAAATACTTTAAAGATATCCTATTTAAAGTCTATGGAGCATCTATGCACCAAGGAGTTTTTCCTGAACAACTAAAAATTGCTAAAGTTGTTCTAATTTTAAAAGAAAGTGATCAAACAAATATCAGTAATTATTGTCCTATCTCTTTCCTCTACACATTTTAAAAAATACTAGAACGTATTATGTACAATTGATTATACAATTATCTTCAATGGAATGTGATAAACGTGGGATGACTGTGCAATAGCAGTTAAAAATATCTGTAAAAACCAACTTGGAATTGGCGATGATATAGTGATTGAGCGAGTCCATTGAAAAAGAAGAATTTAAGACAATCTTCCAAAACAATAGTCCTTAAACTCCTAAATTGTAATGATAAATACGAAATTTTAACTTGAAAAAACTTAAAAGCACTGCACTTTTTATCAATAAAGATTAAACAAAAGAAACCCTGGGAAATTGTAAAAAAATGTGGAAAGAAATTAAAAGGCATCATAAATTTTTGTTAAAGATATGCATAAATAAAATAACAAGTCGGGGAAATAGAAGGAGATTCTATAACTCCCACAGGAACGGCTCAAGTTAGCGATTTTAAACACCAAGCTTTTTATTTTGATAAAATGAAAACTTTATTAGATATAAATATAGAAAAGACGCAAATGAAATAATAATTTATGCTAATGAAATAATAGTTTTATAAATAATAATTTTCATGATTTTAATAATGATTGCTTTTACTATTATTCTAGTGAAAAGGATCTCTTTTTAATTCCAATAATGGCGAACAAATTAAAATCCTTCCTGTAAATATAATAAGCATAGTCACAACTTTGAAACGCTTTTTTACTTATTAGGATAAACTAAATATGTTTTTAATATTATTTATTTAACTTTGATAAGCTATTGCAATTTAAATAATAACGCGAATTTTTAAAATTAGACATATGGCAAAAATGAAAAAAGACATTATTAAACATTTTTTGGTGGAAATGTATAAAAGTGACTATGGTCCATCTTATCCACGTGTTTTTTTAGGATACGACCTTTAAATTTTACTTAAAATTAATCAAAAATACATAAAAAACGTCTGATAATTGTAAATAAATGTTTAAAAATTTATCGAGTAATTTTTCCTAAGTGTAACTAGTGTCCTTAAAATAATTTTTTTTACAATATTTTTGACAATCTTGTCAGCACCCATGACATAAAAGCAAATTTATCAGCTCTCTACGTTCTGAATGTATATTCATAATGTCTTCAAATTGAAAACGCTACATTGTCTATATAAAATCATCCACTTAGAGTAAAACACGCCGGTTTTGCTCATAAAATCTATGTATTAATATTTTTATATAATTTAAATCAAAATTAACAGTTTTAACAGTTAGTTTCATACATTTAAACAAAAAAGTCTAAATGCATATAAAAATTAAGTTGGATCAATTGATCAAGTTTGTGGTTTCTAGGTATATAAAAACCTGGGGCTTCTAGTGTTAAAGTTATTCTGCCACACTGTGTGACGATTTGAGCACGAGAACCTAAGCTCGGAATTTAATCTTTAAGCTTTTTAAAGAAAATGTTATCAAAATAGTCCGTTTTTCAAAACGCCTTAAAAAAAGATACTGCAAATTGTTTTTTTTAAGGCGTTTTGAATAACGTCATTAATGAAAAAAAAATTAATTAATTGTTTAACTGATACTCTATATCAATAAACTCAGCTACATTGACAAAATTATTACAAATTAAGTCTTCAATATACAAAAAGGTTTATTGAAAGCAGGTATATCTGATCATTTCCAAATATTTCTATCATTCAACTCAAATAATTCTATCATTCAACTCAAATAACTAAAACTAATAATAAAATAAGTAAGCGCATATTTAATATAAACAATATTGAAAAGTTTAAAAAACAATTATCAGGGCCGTAGAGAGAAGAAGGAGGAGGGCACAGGAAAACACGTGTTCCCTCCACCTCGTCCAATTTGCGTTTTTTAAATGTTGAAATAGAATATTTACTTGAATAATAAAAATTAGAGTTGCTTAATAAAAGTTAAAAAAATCGGAATATTCATTTAATTTAATAGTTATTTCTGTCAATACAACTGCTTTCTTAAATTCTCCTGCATTTGTCGAATTCTGAAATGAGAGTTCTTAATACTTCAAACTTAATATTTTTAATATTTTAAGTTTTGTATAAACATGTAAAAATAATCTTTTTCTTGCCGTTTTTAATGATTTAATTACCTTGAAACCTGCCATGGAATATTCTCTTAGAAATACCAACCTTCCATATGAGCCTTTTTGTCGAAAAAATTTTACCCATTTTGCATTGGTTACCGTGCACCCCATTTTTTGAATAAAGATGTTTTACCTAATTTTGATTTTAATCTACTTTTTTGCATCTTTTTAAAGTTAAGCTGAAAAATCTTTTACTATATCATATTATCAAAATTTAACAGCAATATTTATATTATGAAAACATTTATTAAACTTTACTAACTACACTAAAAAGTTATATGTGTATGTATATATTATTTTTTATATTATTTTATTATACTGCAGTTATATTTATAGTTACTTTATAATCTAATATTTTATCTACACTAGTATAGTATAAGGCTCTGACGATAAGATCTTACTGCGCTTCTTTCAGATACTTCTCTAATTTTTTTTTTAACAGATAAAAACTGTTAATGTTTTAACTTGTTTCTTGGTACCAACATATGTAATATTTACTTTTTGTCATAGAACTGTTGCCAAAATAAATAGTAAAAGAGTTTCTATAAATTTTGTACTTAATGGGACATTAATAATCAATTTTTATAGTTTGCTCCAACATACTCTGGGGTGAAGAAAGTTAACAATTTTTTTTTTTTAGTGGTACCCAAAATTCCCTATGAAATTTTTTTTTTAATAAATGCAAGTTTAAAGTGTTACTGAAATTCATACTTTTAAAAACCGTGATTTAATATTTACAAAAAATATTTTTTCGTTATGACTACAGAGTTCAAAAAGTTAAAACAGAGGTAATTAGCTCCGGTCTTTCCTTGGTTATTTTAAATTATTTTTATTTAATAGTTTTAAGCCTTTTAAGAATTCATATATTTTTTGTAACTTTTGTTGATGTATAATCAACATGAGTTTTCCATGACAAATTTTTATCAAAATAAATAACGAGGAACTTTATAAAGGAATCTTTTTTAATTTCTACTCTACCGTTAAATTTTTAAGCAAAATACGTTTTTTTGTGAAGGATTTTTTTTGGATATATCGGGGTGTTCACTCTGGTGGATAAACTGAAAGAACTAGAAAGGACTGTTTTGAAAGGCATACTAAAAAAACTGAAAAATATATTTTTTGTGCATAATTGATTCAATGATTATAAAAAACACATTTTCCAGTTATTCAATTGAGTTTTTTGAAATATAGTTTTGTACATTTTTTTAAGTTTGTTTTGAGTTGACAACCTGTGTATTATGACATCCGGCCTTAAAAAAAATGTAAATAAACTAAAAAGTAGAGTATCAAATTGTAGATTGAACCTTGCAAAAGCGTTTTTCTGTTATTTTTAGGGAGTTATAAAATCTTTAATATATATTAACTATATTAACAAACTTAATTTATTACAATAATAAAAAAATGCCTCCTGTAAAAAGAACTAGACGGTGTAATTTATATGGTGGTAGCCCTTCTGATTTTCCTATTACAGATCTAGCAACTTATGGTGATGTAGCAAGATTTTTCTACAAATTAAAAGATTTAGATGGTATTAAAGACAAAAATGTTATTATTCAAAGAACGCTTTGTGGTTTAAAAGAAATATGGTTCCATTGCCGGCTCAAGGGAGGCTAAGGGGACTATAGCCCCAGGCCCCGCTGTTTTAGGGGCCCTAAAATATTTTAGAGGACCTTCCCTTTTTTTATGTCATTTTTAGGCTCTGCTCCATAAAAAGGCCTCCAAAAACAAAAATAGCCCCAGGCCCCAAGAAGTTTTCATCCGCCTCTGTATGGTTCAATTGCAATTCCAAATTAGTTTTGTTACCTGAAAAAAGTTTGATTGTTAAACTTTTAAGATTTTATAATAATGTTATTTTTTGAAATAGAAATAAAATTAAACCATTGACCAAAAAATTGTTTGAAAAAAATAAAGAAAAAACTTTTTGATCTGATAGCATGTAACTGCAAGCTTGAAGTTTTTCCTTGTGATGACAGGAATATCAAATGCTCAGGTTGTTCAAATATGCATCTTTACTGTAGTTGTGTTGGTCGTACAAAAGTAAGTTAAACAAATTTAAAGTAATTTATTTTAAATTAAACTTTAAATAACTTATTTAATTTTTATTGATAAACTTTTTTATATTTTATTATTATTTTTTATATTTTTAGATAATAATACGTTTTACACAAATTAATTAAAAATAATATTTAAAACCAGAAATATTTATTTAGGTTCCTTTGGAAGAGCGCTCCTATTTAAAAGACCAAAGGGAGAAAATTGGTACTAAAGAAAAGTTTCAAATAGGAGGTATTGATAACTCTGTTTTATCACCTACCTCAAGAAATACAATGCAAACAAAAGCTTCTGATGAAGAAATTTATATTAAAGAGTTTGACACAATCATGGATTCAGATCAGGTAATAAATTTTGACCTGTAAACTTTGATTGTATGATATACAATTTGTATAATTTCTTAATTTTTTTAAATATAATGCTCTAAAGTTAATTAGAGCATCTTAAATGTTAATACAAGTAAACGTAAAATTGTCATTGTTATGGTTTTTAATTTCTGGAAGTTTTGTTGATATTTTTTTTATAATTAGAGAGTGAAACTTCAATTTCATCATTAAATCAGACTAGATCAAAGTACTATAACACTACCCACTATCTCAAATTTGCTTTAGAGATAATTAGATATGGAATATCAGATAAAGCAGCTGCCCCTGTAGCTAATGCTTCTCTTCAAGATATTGGTTATCTACATCTTAATGATGCAATTGACCCAAGTAAAATAAAGAGAGAGAAAGAGCAAGTATGCTTTAATGCTAGTTTTGAGCAATCTAAAGTTTCAAATATAAAGACAATTGGTTTGGATTGCAAAAGCATTTATTCGGCGGATTTTGATGTTGGATACTGAAGTTCAAAATTATATTGGCCATAATTTATAGAAACTCTTTTTGTCTCCAACCTGAAAATTTTATTGCTGCTCTACTTTATTCTGAAGAACAGGTTTATAGAACAATTGCTGTTGTTCAGATTATGGAAACAAGAAAAACCCTAATTAAGGATCCTAAAAATGGATTAAATGATGGTATTAGGGTTAACGCCATTCCAGTTATTAATTGTAGATGAAAAATGAGGGGTCATTTAGCCTTTGAAGTTATGCGGATCAAACGTTATTGAATTTTTTTACAAAAGGTGTAAGGCTTTCACATTTAGTGAAAAGCGTTTACTTATAAACCATTCATTTACTTTAGATAATTCTTCATTAAAAATATTAAAAAGAGTTTTTTATAAGTGTGTGAATAAAACAGATTGGAATCGTCAGCAAACAATATGAGATAAATTTTTTAGATTAGGTTATGCATTGTTTTCTGTTAGTCAAGTAGTTTTTAAACCAAAATAAGTTTAAGTTGTTTACTCCATAAAGTTCTAATTTTTTTATAAGGATTTCATGATTGACAGTGTCAAATGCTTCGGATAAATTAATGAAAACTCCTAAGGTAAAATAATCTTTATCAAAAGCATCCGATATATGGTTTACAAGCTCAATTACCGCGTGATCCGAATGATTTTTTTTAAACTCAATTTGTTTGTTGAACAGAATATTATTTGATACTAAATGATTATAAAGCCTATTATATAAATCGTACATAATGCGTTCTAGCAATTTAGAGAAAAAGGTAATACAGAAATAGGTCTGTAGTGTCCGGTTTTAAGTCAGGTGGAAAAAAAAACGTTTGAAACATTTATTTTTTCACCTGACTTAAAAACCGGTGTGATTTTGGCTATTTTAAGTTTGTCTGGTACAATACCAGACGTTAATGAGAGATTAAAAATGTGAAACAATAAGGGTTCAATAATATCAAAGACTGATTTAACTACATTAACGCTAATTTTATCTATGCCTGCACTTTTGTTATTTTTCAAAGAGGAAAAAGCATAATGTAACTCACTTATATTTAAATTTAGTTCTGTCATAACATTATTTGCTGTTTTGAGGCAAGTTTCAAATTTTATGGTACTAGATGGAGTTTTAGCCGCCAGATTTGGACCGATCTCAAGAAAAAAACTATTTAGCTTGTCAGCTATGGTTTCTTTATCATAAACAACTTTTTCATCAATTAACAGCTTTTGTTGGAAATTATTATTATTATTTTCTATTAAACACCCAGTAATAAAATTACAGGTAAATTAATTTATATTAAAACCGTTACAAAATAAATTAAGGCCAGTCTCGGCTCTCCAAATATTTGTCTTTATATTTTGGCGAAGTATCTCATAAATATTCAACAAAGTTTTCAGAGGATAACTTTATTGTTCCGAGAATAAATCTAAAAATAAGTTCTTATCGAATTCAATATCGAGGACATTTTTTATGGAAAAATTTTATTAAAAACTATAATAAAGAACACTACTCTTTAGAAAAATTTAAAACAGTTTCTAAAAGAATCTTACTTCAATTAGATTTTAATTCAATAGACTTTAAATATTTTTTTTAATAGGTAACTTTAAAATAGAAAAAACGCTTCCATTAGCACTAAATATATTTTGTTATATGTATCAAATATATTTGTATTAGTATACAAAACTTTTTTTATTTTTAAATTTTCAATATAATTGCCATTTTATTATTTGAAAAAAGTTATGTATTTTTTAACGTTTTTTTGTATATTTTATTCAAAATTGTTTATAAACACGGAAAAATTGTAAACGGGGCTCGGTGGTAAGACAGTCATTGTCTTCTTCTTGCTCCGGCCAATTTTTATAAATGTAATATGTCTTTATTGTAAATATATGAAACGGCAAATATATATATATATATATATATATATATATATATATATATATATATATATATATATATATATATATATATATATATATATATATATATATATATACATATATATATATATATATATATATATATATATATATATATATATATATATATATATATATATATATATATATATATATATATATATATATATATATATATATATATATATATATATATATATATATATATATATATATATATATATATATATATATATATATATATATATATATATATATATATATATATATATATATTTCATAATTTCCAACTGTTATTACATTTGACTGTTCGTCTGTTTATAACTATTGCCTAATTTACAGACCGATTAGTACATTACGGCGTAAGGGCATTGAAATCTATCTGAATCATTCAGAAATACCTATTTAACATACAGAAGATAATAAATAAGTTTATAATTTAAATTTAAAAGAAAATATTTACATCAATAGAGCTTCCTGAAAGTTTTAGTACTTACATTAGCATTAGCAGGTGTAACAGCAGAAACTCTACCTAAAATTATTAAAAAAAATTATTATTAACCCTTAAAGGACGGGAAAAAAAAGTTACGTTAAGGACGGCTGGGGTATTAAACTACCCCAACTAAAAATATAGGTTTTTATAGAAAACATGTTGAGCTTTTTAACTTAAAATGCGTGCTTTCAACAAAAATATCAACTTTCTCAATGTTTTTTTAAATAAAAGTGATATTTGATACAATTTATTCAAATAAAAACAAAATACAACTCCTAAATAAGGCAACTATTGCAAACAATTTTGCTATGAGCCTTGCAAACAGAATGGCTACATGATGCACATTGAAGACGGGTTTTTCTGTCTTGAACACGAGGACACATATAGCACCTTTTTATGTGCTGCTCTTGATTTGGTTGACCTTGATTTAATAGGTTATTTTGTACAACTACTTGGCGAAGATTATTATTTGCAACTATTTGTGGAAGATTGTCATTTGCATCAAACTTTTTAATAAGACTTTTTGATAATTCTTTTAAAAATTCTCTTCTTCTATGAGAAGCTCCATTTTTATAATTTGGGTGAATTGACAAGAATAAAATCAAAGCATTGTATGCTGCAATATCCAAAATGTTACAAAACATTGTAAATGGCCATCGGTTACTTTTTCGGCGACTCGAATAGCACCTGACAACCTGGTCTAATGTGTCAACTCCACCTTTATATTTGTTGTAATCTAGAATAATACACGGTTTTTCATTATGGTCCATAACAATGTCATTACTGTGATGGAAGGTTGATAATAATATTACTGCTTTGTTTTTCTTAGGTACATAAGAAACAATAGTAGAGTCATTTTGAAAACCAAAAATGCTAGAATAAACTGGTCGATGTAAGGCTGGCAATAACTTTTTTGGTATTTCTCCTTTATTTTTTTTAATGGTGCCAGTGTATGTCATTTTACGTCCTAGCAATGCACGTGCAAGATGAATGTTTGTAAAAAAATTATCAGCTGTTATGTGTCTACCACTTCCATTTAAGTGATCAGTTAGTTCAAGAACTACTCGTGTACCTTGTCCAACATCACGTACTCCATTTACTCTACCAATATACGGTTGCAAATTTATGCAGTAAGAAGTTTCAGCATCACATAATATCCATATCTTCATTCCATACTTTCCTGGTTTAGTAGGTATAAACATCTTAAACGGACAACGTCCCCTAAATGTAACTAATTGCTCATCAACAGTAAGATATGCACTTGGATTGTAGTTGCTCTTACATTTAGTAGTAAACATTTCCATTATATTTCTTAAAGGTGCAAATTTGTCTTCAAACCGTCTTTGATTTCTTGTTTCTCTCTCATCAAATCGAATGCATCGTCGCAAGTTAACAAATCGATCTCTTTGCATTGAAGTAGAAAATATTGATATGCCATCTAATTTACTCCAAAGCTCTTTTATGCTTTGATTTTTACAATGAAACACTCCAGCTAGAAGAAGAACTCCAATAAACTCATAAAGCTCATTTACTGTCGTGTCAACCCATCCTTCTAGTCTTATTCTATGAGCTTCAGCATTAGTGCAATTGACAATGATTCTAATCATTTCTGGTGTTATAAAAAGTTTAAAGGCAGTATCCACACTTTGGCCGCAAACCTGAGCTGCAAACCTTGTTGGGCCAGTTGGTTGTCGAATAATATTGTGTGCACGTGGCTGAGCAGCATTTTCAGATGGAAGAGTACTCCAAATTTCTTCACCATTCTTTGAAATCATGTTTTGATTTAAAATGTAATTTTCCTGAACACGTTCTTCATCACTTTGATCAGAGATGATAGCATCTGATTCATCGTCAACTGTAACAATATCTTCTTCATCGTCTGTAAGGTTTTCATCAGCTGAGTCATCACTTGAAGATAAGTCATTTAAACCAAAAATAATATTATTAGCCTCGACTGCAGCATTTCTTCTTGGGCGACTCATTATATAAATTATACTTATTCTAAAAATAATTTCAGTCTTTATTAAACCAAATATGTGAAAAATATATAACAAATATTGTAGGCATTATTATTTTGTACCAATAATATAAATATTTTTGACATAAAAACAAAATATATGCAACATGAGCAGACTACTGTTGTTACAGTGAGTGTATATATTTAATCAATATATGGTATAATTTACTCATAAAAAAGATAAATAATACCCCATACCTATTAAAAAATAACTAAAACATAAGCAAGTGTTAAAATAAACATGATTTATATAGCTATTTATTGATTCACTAACTAAAAAATGAGAAAACTTGCATGGGGTATAAAAATACCCCAACCGTCTTTAACGTAATTAAATTTTCAACTAACAATATTATTGTCAATTGATTAGTAAAACAAAAACATTTTACACTAAAAACTTCCTTTAATGATAATAAAAGATGTTCTGAAGTGGCAGTTCAAATACACAAAATTTGTTGATGTGGCAGTTTAAAGTAAACTCTTCTGGGGTAGTAAAATACCCCGCCGTCCTTTAAGGGTTAAAAACACAGATGCAAAATAATTTTTAAAAAGTATTTGTTATTTCGTTTTAAAATCAAAAACAAAACAAAAAATTATAAAATAACAATTAAAACTAAAATTAAAGGTAAAAAAATAAACAAAAACAACATTAAAACAAAAAATGTTGCTATTCTACAACTTATTTTTTAGTTTTTAGTAAATGATTGAATTTAGTAAATGATTAGAAATAGCAAGTTTCATTAACGAACAACCTAATAATTATTTTTAACGATAGACACCGAGAAGGTAAGCCAAGTTGTCTATCAACACAAAACATCACAACAATAACATCACAAAACATACAGACCGTGTGGCACTAAACGCTGCAAATTCACACTACACACTCGCGTGTGGAGTTCTTCTCCAAACAAGCGTGCAGCTGGTTTGGAGAAAAACTCTACACGCGAGTTTATCACTCCTAGACACATGTGGAGGTATTTTGTACAGTTTTGTGAAAATAACTACACACTTCTGTACAGAAGTCGAGTTAGAAAAAGTTAGTTTCCACAAAAGTGTGTGAAATAACTCCACACTTGTGTCTAAGAGTGATAGCTACACACCGAAATTTGCAGCCCCCTCATTTTTAAATGCTAAAAGAATATTGCGTGAACTTTAAAATTTATTGATGAATATAGATTTAGTTAAGAATAGTATAAAAATTATTTTATTAATTTGTAGCTCTTACGTTTGGGACAGGTGTAGCTAAAATTTTAGAGCTTTTTTGTTCCCAGGCTCCAATCGTTGTAAATTTTTGCAAAGCAGAATGAAGATAAGTGTGGCCCAATTGTGGAACACATAATGCGGTTCACATAACTATTCCACTTAATACATGTATACTTATTTTAGGTGACGCATTACTATACATTTTATTTGCGGTTGCGGAAATTTGCGCTATTTTAAAATATAACATTGCTTAAGTATAACTATAAATTTTTATAAAACTTGTATAAATTTGTATAAAACAAGCTTTAAGGCTTGTTTTAAGGCTTTGTATTCTTAAAACTGTTAATCAGTTTTCTAGCTAGATTTATATCCTGAAAACCTTTTTTCTTTCACCACCAGATTTGCGTTTGATCAATTTTATTTGGGAAAAACGTTAAATAAAATGATAAAAAACGGTATAGGAATGAACATGCTACTTTTTTACTTATTTAAGTATAAAAGGAAAAATAAAATATTTTTTTCGATGCAGCAACATGTTGTAAACATGTTTTAAATGTAGGGGAAAAGCGCCTATGATGGCATACTTAACCTTGAAGCTTAATTATTCAGTATCCTGAAGATCAAGAATAAAAGTTTTGATATGTATACATTTTTTGTTAAATGTAGAACAATAATAACCCTAGCAGCTTTTATCAGCTTTAGTCTTTATTAGTTATTTTTATTTAAAAAAAAAGCACAAGTATGCCATTATAGGCAACTACTGCTCCTATGATGGTATAGGGGAGGATGGGGCTGGTTAGCATCAAGGGTAACTTAAAAAATTTCATTTGACCGTAGAGTCTTTCCTCAGAAATGCCAGAAAATACTCGTAATTATCCTAATTAACCCTTTCATGCTACTGAGCAGCAGTGTAGGATTTCACGCATGCGCATTCAAAAATGTTGAAGTGAAGTAAAAATTTCTTGTTACTTTGCTAACAAATATGTTGTTTTTATGAAGAAAAAAAAAGGTTTTCTTAACTTGTCAATATTACAACACACCTAACTCGTCAGTATGCTATCATAGGATAAAGTCATCATTTTCATTTAATCAAGCTATGTCTGCCTTGTTCAAAAGATAAAATTAAAATAAGTATTCCAATAAATGCACAAAACTTGGAAATAAAATGCATGAAAATTTCGTTTCTGCGCAGTTAATAATAAAATTACAAGATAAAATATTTTAAGGGGTACAACAGCACATCCTAAAATCTTTGTTGATTACAAAAGCAATATTTGACGTATTTTTACTCAAACTAATGTAAAATCAGTATAGACATGTTAGTCTTATCACTTTTTCGTCATAACCAATATTTATGAAAATATAATCGGTATGCCATCATAGACGCTATGCCATCATAGGCGCCTTTCCCTTAACTTGATAAGTTAAATCTTATATTTATTATGAGCTATTACTATTTTTGAATTATGGTATTCTTGGGTGATTAATATAAAATTGTTTAGAAGTTACTGTTTTCAAACGCAAATCGTAACAAATCAAATTTGTTACGATTTGCGTTTGATCAACTTTGTTTGGGAAAAACGTTGAATAAAATGATTAAAAGTGAAGGAATGTACTTGCTACATTTTTTACTTATTTAAGTATGATAAAAAAATCAAACATTTTTTTCGAAACAACAACTAAGTTGTAAATAAAATAAAAATAAAATTAAAAATATATTATTACAGTCACTAAAAAAAATGGCGCATTTTATTTCTTCACATGTGTTTCGTGCACTTTATACTAACTACTAAAAACTTGAAAAATTTTGTTTTAAATTAAAATAGTTACTATGGTTACTGAAATTTATTTTTAATGCGTCGCAGCATGCACCAACGTTTTACATTTCTTTCAATATTTAGAAATTAATGATTATATGTTTTCAATGAAATATCGTCAATTTTCGTCACCCAAGTATTAATTCAACCAGGTAAGTTAAAGTGTTTAAGTGGGGCGGTTAGCAAGGCAAGTTACTTTGAAAGTATTTTTAATGCTTAACAAAAAATCTTTAATCCTTTTTATTAGCTCCTAATATTTTGAGGTAAAATGGAAAATACATTAATTTAAATATCAGCAGTAAAAATATATATATTTTTTTACAGTTAAAAATATTTATGTATATATTTGTTGCTTTTTTGGCGCTTCGAAAAGAACATGTAAAAAAGAAAAAGTAAAACAAGAACTTCCTCTAAAAAAACTTTTTTTCGAAGCCGAAAAAAAATCTTTATTTATATTATAATAAAAACTTTTTTAATAATATTTATTTAGTTTTATGTTTTTTCGAACACAATATAAGTTATTTGAGCAGCCGTAGCACAGTGGTTAGCGCGCTTACCTCAGAAGCTAGAGATTGTGGTTCAAGTTTTTAGTAGTTAGTATAAAGTTTCAACTCGTTTCTCCGCGCAGCGGCCTTGTTCGTCAAGGTTCGTGTTTCGGAGTTATAGAGTTGAGAGAGGGTTATAGCCACAAAATAAGTAGCCTCCTCGTTTGTATTGGCCTTTCTCGGCCTTGAGGAGGTGAAGTAAAATAAAAAAAAAAAAAATTCAACCTCTTGATAAGTTTACGGTCATATCACTTCCGCAGTGCTCTGTGATATGACCGTAAGGACTTCTTGGGGCACCTAAAACTAAAAAATATAACTAATTATGTGAGCAATCACGACAGGTATAGTTGGTGTTGGATAAAGGTATGGGTGTGTGAATTTAGGTATTAAATAAGATAATTGTAAAAACAAAATGAAATTTAAAAATGAAATTTAAACCTGAAACGGGTAAAACCCAAAAACACCTTTTACTAGACCTCTCTGACGCTCCATTCCCCATTAAGCCCATATTTAAGGGCGGTGGCTTTCTTGTTTTTTTTTCATTTTTACTAAATGGAACTAAATTTTTTTTTTTGACATTACATTTTAAATATCACTGAATAGTTTTAAGTGTTCCGTAGTTATGACTATGCAATGTTTACAGCCCCCTTGAAACGATTATATTACCTATAGGTATAATATAATCGTTTCAAGGGGGTTATTAAGTGTTCCGTAGTCATATCTACGGAACACTTTTTATAATTATTGCCCTTAATATTGGGGTTAATGTTTATAATATAAATGTTTATAAACATCAGTTTAAACATTATAATATAAATGTTTATAACATCAAATGTTATAACATCAATATAAATTATAACAATATAAATTATAGGTTTATAACATCAAATGTTATAGCATCAATGTAAAATCTAATGTTATAACATCAATATAAACAATATAATTTGGGTGTTATAAACATCAGAAAAACCGCTGCGACTTTTAGGAGTATTTATTTGTAGATATACTTTGATTTAGACAATGCCTGAATAAACTATTTTTAACAATAACAATGGAAATAAAAATGTAATAGAATTAAAGTAAAAACTAATTGTATAATAAAAATAAAACTAAATCGTTTTTGGACAAGGACAGGAAAATATTTTAAATGATTGAAACCGCCCGTTCATGAGTTTTATCCTCGGTCCATGAGTTCAAAAATTCTAAATCATTTTAGTTCATACTAAAAGCATCCATTTATAAATTTAATGGTTTGTTTGGTTAAAGTTCTTTGTTTTTTCGGAGATTTTTTTGCGTAATTTAAAGAAAAAGAACTTAGCTTTAATAGGAGTTTTAAGTAAATCTAATTCTTCTTTCAAAAATCGTTTAGAGATTCTACACGAACTGGGTAAATTGAGAAATAATGGTATATCTTATATATGTAATTATCCATGGAATCTACAACATGCTGATTTATGTTGTTAAGCACGTGAGTAGCCGTTTTCATAAAAACAAAAACTCTTTTTGTTGTAAACTCTAAACCTTATAATTTCCAGAGTGAAAAACTGATTTTCAATAGATATTGCAATTGTGTTCACTATATGTCTTGCACTATTCTTTGCATTGTAACTATTTTAAACTGTGTATTACTACGTATGAATTAGTCTCAGATTTTTCAATAACGTCTAATTTTAAAATAGATTAAAGTTTTATACCTTTATGTTTACTCCTATCAGTTTGAACTAAAAAGTTAACATTTGCCAATTAGTTTCTACTAATTGTTAATAGTTTCTACTAGCGGAGTTTCTATTTTATAATTCTATTTTAGTTATTTTACTTACGGAAGACATGATATTCCTGTAACCATGGTTATTTCTAAAATATTTTACGACTTTCAAACTTTGGCGGCAGGGGGGGATGTATACCCACCCCAATTCCCCCTCCCTCTGTATCCGCCACTGTCTTGTGGTACAGTCTAATCATTGAAATAAAATTGGTATAAAACGATGTGATACAACAACACCAGTTTGGCTGCAAACAAATTTCTTTACTGTAAGAAATCATAACATTATTGAGGCTCTGACACATTTTAACTAAACCCTGCGGGTTCTTCTATGATGTAATATATACAATGCAATTTTTTGGTCACATCTCAGTTATGCTTTTTAGGTTTAGGGACAAAATAAGTTTCATGTTTTTTTATGATTATTTAACCAAAAAAACAAGTTCTTTGTGAATTATAGCAGCTTTTGATATTGAATCGTTTTTGTCAGTTTGAAAATTCCGCGCACAATTGTCCTCTTATATTAATATCTCTACAACCCATATTTAATATATTTTTGATGAGAAATAGCAGTGATCGAATATTTCTGGCTAGAGTAAAGTGTTTAGAGAAAATATTGCATACTTTTCAAACTATTGAGCCATTAACAAACACACACACACACATACACACAAAATAAAATAAAACAAATATATATATATATATATATATATATATATATATATATATATATATATATATATATATATATATATATATATATATATATATATATATATATATATATTCAAATACTCATGAATCATTTGTTTACAAAAATAAATGTTTTATACTTTATTTTTTTTTAAATTGTTAAAATTTTGAAAGTTAATTACAAATTGTATATTTTAGTAGTATATTCTTATTTCTTATATCTTTTCTAGTGCTTGGTTTTATTAATTGTCCGTTAGATTTGTCAAAACAACTTGCATCAAAATGTAAAGAACACACTCGTAAATTATCAAAGATATATTATAACTCAATTTGGCGCCAAAAAGGTCCCTAGGTCCATCATCGCCATGGTTCATGTAGCCACGGCTCTAATAGCTACAAAAAAACAAAGTTTTTTTCAATGTGAAGATTTTAGAAAAAAAAATAACTAACTATATTTAGTTATTTTAGTAAAATTTAATAGTAAAAATTTTAAAGAATTTCTAGAATGTTTCCAATGACGTCATGAACTAAAACTTCTATGAATTAAACGCACTTGAATAAATTAAAATACTACAGAAAATGGAGAAGACTAAAACAACAAAATTTTTGTTTTTCTTGGTTTAAATTTATTAATTAGTTTTAATCAAAAAAAATTTCCTCAGACATTTTTTTTTAACATTCTCTTTAATATGAACACAACATGTCTCGGGACTTGGTAGTCCCTTTAAATTTAATTGTTTTTTTTTAATATACTACAATTGAACGATAAATTTGTTCATAAAAAGTATAAGTTTGTTCAAAAAAAGTTCATATAAATTTGTTCATAAAAAGTTCATATAAATTTGTTCATAAAAAGAAAAATTTGTTCATAAAAAGTGTTTATTTACATTTTTTTAATCATCAGTACTATTTTTTTTTTTTTTACTATTAATATAATTTTATATGGTGCGTTAATAAAGCAGACAGGACACTACTTGTTTTACATTATAAAAACAATAATAAAGATTCAAAGTTATTTGTTTCAAACATAATTATCTTGTTGTTTTATATTTATTATTATAGTTAAGCTTTGGTTTTTTTTTTTTTTTTTTTTTTTTGTTTTAAGTTATTTACTACTAAGTTATTTTTAGTTATTTCTAGACAAGGTTTTCCTAATGATGCTCTTTCTCTTATAGACAATCTCCAAAAATGCAATGTAAACGTTGTTGGATTCGCTAAAAATGCTCAAATCAAGCTTCTTTTCTATCCTTGTAAAGTTAGATCTCTTTTTCTTTCAAACATATACTATCATATTCGCTGCTCAAAGGAGCTATCATTTTGAGTTCCATCAAATAAAACTCATTCTTGCTTGACTACTCATTCAGCGAAGTCTCATGTTTTACTGTATCTGTCTCTGCATGCTCTGAAAACCTTTATTTGTCTAGTTTTTTCCTTGCACTTTAACCCTTTGGAACTCTCTCCGATCGTCATGTTTTCCAGACTTGTTCAACTCCCAATTTTTTAAGTTAATAATTAATTAAGAAATCACTTTATTATTATGAAAAAAACTATTAAAAGTTAAACTACTTTCATTCAAATTTGAATGTAATATCTTACGTTTAAGCCAATAAGATATTAATATAAGAGGACAATTGTGCGCGGAATTTTCAAACTGACAAAAACGATTCAATATCTAAAACGGCTATAATTCACAAAGAACTTGTTTTTTTGGTTAAATAATCATAAAAAAGCATGAAACTTATTTTGTCCCTAAACCTAAAAAGCATAACTGAGATGTGACCAAAAAATTGCATTGAATATATTGAGTAAAGTTTCATGATTGACACAGCGACGAATTTTGGCTAGCATCCCATTTAATTTACGCAATTTTACCGCTAATTTTTTAAGATGAGAAGAAAAGAATAGATTTGAGTCAATTATGATTCAAATATCCTTTTATAAAACTACAGAAAAGATTTTTTGACTAAATTTTAGGTTTTTATACACTTTAGATTGACTTAATTTTTGGAAATGGTGGGTTTAGTTTTGTTGGTTTTAAAACTAAGTTTGTTAGAACGCAGCCATTAAAGTATATTGGATAAATCATGTTGGTATCATTTTTTCATGAGTAAGTAGTGTATGAATTTTTTCATGAGTAAGTAGTGTATTTCATGAGTATGTTGTTGGTATGATCGGTATGTTTGTTATTGTTTGTATGAGTATTTATGTTGGTATGGTCGGCTGTTGAAAATTTTAGAGAGATGGTAAAATCACTTATAAAAATAAGGAAATATAATTGTCCTAATATTGAACCTTGGGGTTTACATATAAAGCATTTTATTGCAATTTATTAAAAAGATATGATAAAAACCATGGAAAAGCAATAACTCGTAAACCGTTGTGTTCCAATTTACTTTGGAAGATGGACCAATCAATAGAATCAAAGTTTCTCCCCAAGTCAAAAAAAATTTAACATGCAAAAAGAGCTTTTCTAATAGTTTCAGTTATTTTATTAGATGCGTGAGTTGTGAAATGTTTGTTACAAAATCCATACTGATGTTTGAAGAGACATAATTCCGCTATAAATTGTTGTGCATAGCTTTTTTTAAATATTTTGCTAATGATAGATTAAATAAAGAAATTGATCATTAGTTTATGTGGTCCATTAGAGAAAGAGTTTAATGGATATAAATTACTTTGTCAATCTTAAAATCATCTCCAAAAAGTCATCAGTGTATGTGGCCTATATTTGGCTAGTTTCCATATATAGCCCACATACACAGGCCTGCGAAGACAAGTTTAGCTCACTAAAGAGCATCATAACCTGGTTTGCAGACTAAAAGTCAGTGAGTTTAAGAAGAACGAGTTAAAAAAACAAGTGAAAGTCATGTTATGTTAACTATTCTTGTTTTGCTTTCCGTGTATTTTTTGCATTGTTGAGGTTTTTTTAAAAAAGGAAATGTAGTATGAAATTTTGGAAATTCCTAATAAGTTGCAAATTTTATTCTTGGACAATTTAAATTTATTGAACAGACTTTTTGTGTTATATTTAGGTTATATTATCTATATAGTTTAGTAATTAGTAATAGACTATGAATAGGATGTCCAAAATTTTAACTGGAAAATTTATTTATTTAAATCTAATAACATTTATTATATATTATGTATTACATAAAAAAATAATATTATATAAATATTTTATTAAATTTTTTCAAATTTATTTCATAATCATTAAAAAACCAACGTGGTTTTTGGGGTGCATATGATGTGGTTTTTGTAGTACATTTGAAGTGTTCTATAAAATATAAATTAGCAGTCATGCAATCATCCTAAGAGCAATTTATTATAACAATCTTCTTCAAAAATTAAAATTTAAAAAAGTTAAAATTCTTAACAGTAAAGATTATTGTTAAATTAGTTAATGTGGTTTTTGGGGTGCATAGCGAAAAAAAGAGTCTGCTTCAACATTCAAGCAAAAGAAGACATATTAAACCATACCTAACAGAAAAAACCCCATTAAGGCTTATCTTTCAATAGTAATAACTTAAAAAATATAACTTTTCTCACAAAAAAAGTTCTAGGCTCTCCTACTTTTATGTGGTTTTTGGAGTGCAAGCACCTGTGGTATTCAATTTTAAAAAAAGGCCAATTTATGTCCGTACGTTCTCGTACAAAGATAAATAGACTAAAGGCTTTAAATTGACGTTACTCGTTTACATTTAAATAAGCACTCGCACTGAAAATGTCAACATTGCAAAATAAACAGTAAACATTTGCTGAAGTCACGAGAGTCTCGTTATTTGTTTTAACAACTAAGCACAGTGGTTAGTAAAGTCTTTTTATGTCAAATAATGTGTTGAAAACAACTACCATTGAATTCTAAAAGAAATTGTTAGCCGGATTTTAAAACGTTATATGTTCCAAGTGATTTAGGTACTATTTTATTTTTTTTTTGTTTTAATTTTGTCATTGTGTTTGTATTTTTTTAAATTTAATAAAATTATTAGGACAGTTTAGCGTAAATCATTTTTCCAAAAAAAAAAAGAGAAAAAAAAAAGAGAAAGATATTTAGCGCAGATGGGCTTGATCATCAAGCCCATGTATTCATACAGTAATTAAACAGTATGTATTCATACTGTAATTAAACAGTATGTATTTATACTGTACTCATACTCTATTCGTGTACTTGATTTTAAAGAAAAGTTACACATTTTATTATAAAAAAAAAATACAGGTAAACAAGTTTGGTCTTATCATCAAATTCATTATGACATAATAAATGTAATGTAAAAAAACGAATATGAATGTATTTTCATCCTATTTGTTATTTTGTTTATACTCAGTAAATGTAATCATATTGAGTATGAATACATTCATATCATTTATATAATATTGTATATCTCACTTTTTCTTTTTTTAAATTATTCTTTTTACTAAATGAAATATTAAATACAACACAGCTAAAAAATAACAAGCATTTATTCATCTTCATATCATATTACAAAGTAATTTGATATGAATGTTAATGTGTGCTTGTTATTTTCTAGTATAATCTTTACTTAATCTTTGCTTGACACAGTTCCAAAATTTTACTCAAGCAGATTTAAAATAACTCAAACAGCTTTAAAATAGATTTTAAATTTATATTTCTTTGTTTTTAATTTATCTAATCTTGATAAGTTGATAACAATCCTTTGTTTAAAATATGACAAAGGTCTTTTGTTTGTGTGTAAAAGATTTTAATTATTAGGTTTAAAATATATTAAAGAAATTCATTGTATTACCTTTATTTTAAAATTTTTTACTTTTAAAATGAATTTTATTAGTCAAGTAGTTACAATAGTTATCCAACTTTTAATTTAAAATTAGTTTTTGTTATTGCATTTAATATTTAATAAGTTGTTTATGAGTAACTGATTCCATTGTTTAATTTTTTATGTTTAGTAGATCACAATTATAAATTTGTAATTTAAATACATTAAAAGACATCCATTGAATATTATTGTATAATCATTCTCTGTTGGTTGATAAATTATAGTGTTGGCTTATAATCTGATTATTAAACTGCATTGATTCTTTTTAAATAAAAATATACAAAATCAACTTTTAAATTATAAAAAAAGTTACAAAATATTTTTTTGAATTCAATTCAAGGAACACAGATTTCTTAGATTATGACATACAAAACAAAACAGAATAGATTTTGAAATGTCTTTTAAGCCTAATCTAGAAAAATACTACATATAGAATTCTAGAGAAACATAAGTTTCTCTAGTTTACGAGCAAGTTACAAGCCTTCTTTTTAAATATGTTTATGTGCTGCTTTTTTAATATGTTTTTGAACAAGAAAGGACATATTTAGATGTCTCTGCATAAAAATTGTAACAGTATTCTATATAAAGATAAGTAAAAGCTTTTTAAAGGATTGATTTCGAAATAGGAGTAAAAAAAACAGAGCAAGACAAAGAAAAGTAAACTTAAAGATGACAATCATGATAAGCTGCTGCAACCAGCTAATTAAAATGTTGTGGTTTTATATCAAGACTGGATTATACATTTATAATGATGTAATTATATATTTAGATTATATTGTCATATCATTAGCAAATAAATCTAATTTAGAGCACTTGGAGAAGAAATTTTTAAAAGTTTTAAAACTTGAATTTGACACAACAAATCTAAGAACATATGAAGAATCATTTTGGTCAAGTCACTATTACAAGTTTTTGTTATATCTAGAAAAAAAAAACCTTACTTTATCTATTTCATCTAATGCAGATTAGAGCATTTTTTTTTTTTTTAATTATCAAATCATCAGTAAAATGATAGTATTGAAATATTTATTATATTATAAATTTGTTAAATTTCAACCATTTGTTATGTAAAATAAAAGTATCGAAATATTTATTACAATAGAAATTTGTTAAATCTCAACAAATTTGTTAAATTTACAGCTATGATTAGAAATAGGAATCTAGATTACAATTATAGTTAGAGCTAGGGGTCTTACTAAAACGTAAGTAAGTTTTTTAAAGCTCATGGTTTTTCTCAAAATGAGTATATGAATGTTTAAACTTTTTAGCTTCCTATATTTTAAATTTTATGGTAATATAAGTAAATCAAGGAGGCATTGCTTTAAGTTATTTTATTTTGTTTACAGCTCAATAAAAGGAGGTTCCAAATTTTACAATAAACACTTAAAATTTCTTTTTTAAAAAAAAATATTTTTTGCATGAATATGAAATCCTTCATAAGCATTTAATACTGGTAAATAACATCTCAGTGAAAAGTTAAACATAAAAATAAAGTTTTTGATATATGACTATATATAATACATATTTAACAGATTATTATGTACATCGAATAGTTAAACAAGATATTCTAAAACTAAGTAAGTTAAACAACATATTCTAAAAGTAACTAAAGCAGCAATTTTAAAAGCAATTAAAACTAGAACTACTTTTTACCTTACACTGGGCCTTTTTCACTTTACTATGGGTCTTTTTTCACCTTACTATGGGCCTTTTTCACCTTACTATGGGCCTGCATATATAATTTTTATATATTTTTTTATAAAGATATTTTCTTGTTAAGAGAATGTTTCTTATCTTTTTGTAAGTTTCTTATATGATTCATTAAAGGTTTATACAATAAAATGGGAAATAGTCTATTTAGCAGCTCAGTTAAAAAAGAAGGTATATGTTCTTTTTTAGTTATTTTTTTAATTTTTTTTCTTATTTCAATGATTGTAATTTAAAACTTTAAGTTATAAATCCGCAAACAATATAATAGCAAAATCCTATAAATTAGTAAATAGCAATGATTATTAACACAAATCTATTAAGAAACAGGGGTGGACAAGACTAGTTGCATTTCTTTTACTCTTTGAGCTCTGCAGTTCTATCAACATGTTTCTCTTAAATTAAAGTGTAGTCTTGCAGAGATTGAATTAAGAAAACTTTTTAGTGACATTTGGTGATATAAAAAACTTCTTAAGGGCACTTCTAAGGCCTTAAAAAAAAAGTTCCTTTTTACTCCATACTGGTGTAATTTGGATCAGTTTATAATTTTATAACTATAATTCTCTAAAATTAATTTTTTCAATGTATTACTAAGAAACACATTAAAAAAATTTACTTTTGCAAACAATTTAAAGCCATACATTTGATTTCATTTCAAGTTGGTAGTCAATAATACTTTGTGCAATAAATCGATTTGAGTTAAACATGAGACTTGGTTTTTTCAAATTTACAGCCAAACTTTATAATAATAATTCAAACTACTAATTAGTGTTTTTTAACAGGGCGAGTTTGCTTAAATCATTTTAAACACATCTACCCTTTTAAAAAACACAGATTTTTGTCTGATATAAAGTGGATATTTATCATAAATATCCACTATATATCAGACAAAAAAACCAAAAAGGTTCATCTTTAAAAACCAAGAAGCTTTTTAAAGATGAAACCTTTTGGTGTTATAAATTCTTACTGTTAAGTGCATTATAGTGACTATGTTATTTTTATCCTTGATATAAAAAAAAAAAACATTGTTACAAATAAATTATATTTTATAATGTCAATCAAATACTTAGATGTACAAAGTTCAAGTCTGGTGAACTTTGATGTAGTTATGAGAACACACTTTTTTCTTGACCAAAACCTATGACAACTGTTGTACATATAGTTATCTAACTAACTTTTGTACAGATAGTTACCTAATTAAGCTATGAATACTTTACTAGTTAAGCTATGATGACTGTTGTACTAATTGCATCTAACTTCAATTTCTTTTACAAAGTTTATCCATTTTAACATAAGTTTCACTTTAGTTAAGGTGGTCCTATACTAAAAAAATCAAAATTTAAATAAAACACTCATATTTTTTGATTTTCATATAAAAAATAGTATTTTATATTTAAAGCACAGTAAAGAAAAAAAAAAAAATTTTTTTGGTCAAAATTTTGGATCCATGGATCCTAAATATGGACTACATGCTGCAAACATAAACAGCCTGTAAACTAATAATGGTGTGATCATGAAATTTTCACAGCTTTTCGATATCAGATGATTACACTCACCCTGCCAAATCAAATAAATTAACAAACTATTGAAGCTTTCGTAAGAAAATTGATTTAAGGCCTAAAAAAAAGCCCCGAAAAGGCTTAAAACCTAGACCTTAATTTTAGAACTAGTTAACTAACATGAATTCTTTTGTTTAAGTGGAAGTGCATATATATAATAAACAACTCATACTCATTTTAACACAATCAAATCAAACAAAGCAATTTCAAGATATTTATCGCAGCGTGCAAAAAACTCATATATTGAGAAAAACAATAATAAAGATTTTCAAAAAAAAAAAAAATAATATATAAAAGGTCAAAAATTATTAAAAACAAAATGACTTATTAGCATTCTTTTTTCTGTGTTTTTAAGCATTATTAAAAACACAGAAAAAAGAAAATTGTGAAAACTCTATTATTTGAAAAAGATTTAACCAAAATAGAATTATTCAAATAATGAAAATAAGCTTGAACATAAAAAGATAATACACAATAACTACATTAAAAAATACAATAAATGCCTTAACATAAATTTAATTTAAAAATTAACAAAAAAGTAATATCTAAAAAACTCCTGCTTCATAAGATGTACCTTCACTTTCATTTACTTTATCTGTAAAAACTTTTTGTTCTGCACAAAGCAGCTTTCTTCTTTGTTTTATTGAGTCAAGTGACTTTTTTCCCATTATCTGTATTCTTTCTTGGACTTTTTTGGTACAGTACTCAGTAGCAAATGTACCTAGTATAACATTTAAATATTTTAATATGTTTAATATACCAGAAATACAATCATTAAATGAAATTACTGTTGATGCAACACTTATTTCTAAAGTAGTACGGCAAACAAAAATTTCTTTAGGGCAACGCTTCCAAATGATTGCATTAATATATTCATTTTAGTTTTGAGTTTTGCCATGTAAACATCTACAAAGAAGCTTATCATCACTAAAGTCAAGAAAAATGGATTTAATTTCATCCCTAATAATTGGTATTCCAGATTTTTCCTTGTAAATTTTTGTGTTATCAATTTTATCACACTGATATTTACACCAAGAATCATAAGTTCGAGGGCACATATAGTGTCGTAATTCTAAATTCAAAGCAACTTAGCAGTGAAATAAAATAGAACCAATTGCTTTTTTCATTTGGTAAACTGTTGTATCAGTACTTTTCCGTACTGCAATACCATAATAATTTTAAAGTTTATTAATCAACTTATCAGTAAATTTTCAACTATCAAACCTGGGTAGTGACCACTTTTTAAAACCTCAGCATGTGCTTTGGAATCCCCGTCTCCAAAGTAATGAGTATTTCGAAGACCCCTTTTGTCTATAGATTTCATAAAACAATCTACAATATTAGAAACTTCCATAGATCCAGCAGAACCTTTGTGATTATTTAAACAACCACGGGTTTCTGAAAAATTTTCATAAAGTTCTAGCTTGCTATCTTTTTTTGATTCCCATGATGTACAGGCATTGCATATCTTTGAAAGAACTCGAAAGTTATCACATTTCTCTGAGTCACTAGCAATAACAGTAACAACACCATTAGGTGAGGAATGACCCCTTTTTTGCCAAGTTCCATCACAGGAAACAACAACATCAGCTATATTACATTAATATCAAAAACATTTGTGTTGGATATCGTTGTTAAAATGTTGAAATTCATTTGCTGCATTTTTTATTTTCACTTTAGCTACTCTTTGGTATATTATATGAATTTTATTTTGAATATCAATAAATGCTTTTATGTTCATTGGAGGAGGTAAGTTCATTAAACCATAAAAATTTCTCCAAACCAGAATGACATTTTCTTATCTCTCTCTCATTGCAACAACAGATCTATATTTTATTTTAAATTGTGATTTGCCTGGAGCTTGCTTTTCAATCTCTTTGCTAAAATAAAAAGACTGTTTCCAATTGCATGAACATGTTGCACAAGAAATGTTTGAAAACACAGCCAAGCCTTTTTCTTTGATAAATCAGTTGAGATTTTAATTGAATTGTTATGGCATTGAGGACAATGTCCTCAATCAAAGTAACAATTGATTTTAAAATGTCTGTGTCAATTAGTACAAAGCATGAAGGCAATTTATTTAAATCATTAACTTTTGTATTACTAGTTTCATTGCTATGTGAATTTTTTGAAAATGTCAATGTCAAGAATTTTGATTGAGTTGAGGAAATGATTTCCGATTGAGAATTTAAATTAATGCTGATTGTTGATGCTGAGAAAAATTGAATTTCTTTAAAGTATTTCTTTTTGAAAATCTTGTTACCACCTGCTTTCCTTTTTAAATTTGGATCACATTTAATTTTTCCCATGACAAAAGTAAGCACAAGGCAAATAAAGTATAACATGAGGCTGATAGTTTTTCTATAAGTAATATATGTAAACATAGTAATTGTACTTAAAAATCATAGCTTATTTAGAAAAATAAACATGAAATAGTTACTGGCACCAATGTCAAAAACTTATAGTAAATGGTGCAACATCTATTTTCTAACATAAACTACCCGTTGCTAAGGCCATTGCTAAGAAAATTATTTTACTTCACTATGAAGCTTGTTATTTAGAGCCTTTTTGAGTTCACTCCCTATAATGATTTAGATATATTTGAAATGTAGAATGTTTAGGGTTAAAGAATAAATATAAATGTTAAACTGTAAATGTAAATACTTCAATATGTTATTTATTTTTTTAATCGAAAATGATAAACCCAAGAATTTTAATTGGAAGTGCATATCTATATATTTATTTTATTTTTAATATTGTTTTTTTTATTTATAATTTTATATTGGTAAACTGATTCATAATTATATATTGATCAACTTAATTTATAGTTATATATTACTAAACTGTTTGTTTTGATCTTTCAAAAATAGTATCATCACTTCCAGTAAGATTAGAACAAGAACTTAAAGAAGGTACTGAAGATACCCATGAAGGATCTACACTTGGTAACTTTTTTATGTATTTATATATATTTTTATGGCACTTTAAGAAAATTTATTAAAAAAAAAAGATGAACCTTCCTGTATTGAACACTGTTGTAATATTTAGGCTGGTTTTTCTTATTATGACCTTTCCTTTTAAAACACAGTCCAAAAAAACATTATTAACATAGTTAGACCTGGCCTATTGTATTGAACACTGTCGTAGTATTTAGGCTGGTTTTTCTTATTATGATCTTTCCCTTTTAAACACCGTCCAAAAAGACATTATTAACGTAGTTAGACCTAGTCTATTTACTAAGATTGAGCCACTCTCCCATTGTTGTAAACTTACATCTCTTTCCCTTTTTTACAAATACTGCCGTATTCGACGCTCAAATTAGCTATTATCTTGAGTCCCACCAACCAACAGCTCAGCTTTATCTGATTCTATCTATTGAAGAAAACAGATTCTATCTGTACCTTAAGGGGTAAACAGATTCTATCTGTTGACCAGCCTCGCACCCCTTCCTCATCTATTAGGCTGGCGCAGATGTATTTTTAATACATTGTTTCCAGTTTAGGATGTTGAACGCTGGATCTTCTTGACTCAATGCGTGGGTATTGCTTGTGTCTCTATTTTTATGACTGGGCAACTCATTCTATTATCTCCTAATGAGGGTACAGCTCTAAAACTCAGTTTTATGGTTCTGAGGCCGGCTGGTAGTCAGGTTTCCTGAACTCTGTGGTAGCTCTCAGAGAGGCTGATTCCATCAACAGCCGAAAAATATCAGAGTACTAACAGTGCCATGTTGCGCATGGATGGTGTCCCTGTTTGTACTTTTGGTGTGCATTGCAGAGGCCACAGTTGGAGCCCTTTGTTACGGCTTAGGGTTTATTAATAGTAATGAGGCTATTGCTTAGTTGTTAAATAGTGTACTGAGTACTATCTATACTTGAGTCAAGTTCTTTATAAATTTAAAATGACTAAAGTACCTAAAACTAAGAAACACAAAAAACCATTGTCATCACCAAGTTCTCTAAACCTATCATTTACTAATATTCGTGGTCTTCGAAGTAACTTTTCTTCTGTTGAGTCTTATCTCTTGCAAAGTTCACCAGACCTACTTGCTCTTTGTGAGACTAATTTGAGTTTGGCTGTTTTGTGATCTTAGTGTTGATGGTTATCTTCCTTTAATTCGTAAAGACTCCAATAATCACATGCTTGGCCTGGGCATCTACATTCGTAAGAACTCACCCATTTGTCGTGAAACTAGGTTTGAATCTACAGACTATTCATTTATGTGCTTTCGTTTAGCACAACTTCACTCTATCGCCTTTCTCTTTGTTCTATATCGCTCTCCTTCATCCCAAGATTGCACTATTCTTGATGTTATTTCTGATCAAATTGACCAAGCCCTCTCTCTTTATCCATCGGCCAATATCGTCGTTGTTGGTGACTTTAATGCCCATCACACCGATTAGCTTGGCTCTAGCGTCAGTGACTCTGCTGGCGTTAAGGCCCTCAACTTTTGCCTTTCTCAATCTCCAACTCAAATAGTCAACTTTCCAACTCGTTTCCCAGACAACCCTAATCATTTACCTTCTCTACTCGACTTATGTCTTGTTTTGGATCCTAGTCAGTGCTCAATTTCTCTACATTCACCCTTAGGTACTTCTGATCACGGTTTGATCTCTCTAAAACTATTATCAAATTCTTCTACTTCATCAGAATCCCCCTATCATCGTACCACATACAACTACCTTAAAGCTGACTGGGACTCTTTCCGTGATTTTCTTCGTGATGGCCCTTGGGTAGAAATCTTTCGTCTTCCTGCTGACAAATGTGCTTCTTACATAACTTCGTGGATTCAGGCTGGCATGGAATCTCTTATTCCCTCTCGACGATTCCAGGTCAAGCCTCACTCTTCTCCTTGGTTTTCCTCACATTGCGCTGCAGCAATTTCTAATCGAAACCGTTACTTCCATATCTATCAGCAAATCAATTCTCCAGAAAACAGACATCTGTTCACTATCGCCAGAAACCATTGTAAAAAGGTTTTGTCTGACGCCAAAGCTCGCTATTCCCAGGTCATTAAATCTCGTATCTCATCACAAAAATTAGGCTCTCGAGACTTCTGGAGAATCTTTAACAGTATCAATAATAAGGGCAAATCTGTTATTCCTTCTCTCTTGTATGGTTCAGACTTTGTCACCTCACCTAAAGACAAAGCTGAATTGTTTGCTAAGAACTTTTCATCAATATCATCTCTTGATTCCACTAGTTGCGTTTTACCTGACATAGCCGTCAAACAGGTTGATCCCTTGCTTGATATTCGCATCACTTCAGCTTCTGTATCTAAAGTAATTTCCTGCTTAGACTCTTCAACAGTTTGTGGTCCTGACAACATTCCTGTTGTAGTCTTGCAGAGGTGTTCTCCTGAGCTTTCATCCATACTCTCTAAACTATTTAACAAGTGCTTATCAGAGTCTTGTTTTCCATCATGCTGGAAAGCAGCATCTGTTATCCCTATTTTCAAAAATTGCGGAGAGTGATCTGATTCATCTAACTACCGTCCCATTAGTCTTCTTCCTGTCATAAGCAAGGTTTTTGAATCTTTAATCAACAAACACTTAATCTCTCATCTTGAATCAAATAACTTACTTTCTGATCATCAATATGGATTTCGGTCTTCTCGTTCTACAGCTGATGTGCTAACAGTAATAACCGATAGGTTTTACCGTGCATTAGATAGAGATGGAGAGGTTAAGGCTATCGCACTTGACATTTCTAAAGCTTTTGATAAAGTTTGGCATGCTGGTCTTCTCCATAAGCTTTCTTCTTATGGTGTAGCTGGTAACGTCTTTAAGATTATTGAGTCCTTTCTTTCCAATCATAGTATAAAAGTTGTCCTCGATGGACAACACTCTTCTTCACATCCTGTAACTTCAGGGGTTCCTCAAGGTTCAATCCATGGCCCTATACTCTTTTTAATTTACATTAACGATCTTCCAGATATTCTCACATCTAAGGTGGCATTATTCGCTGACGACACTACCATTTACTCTTGTCATGATAAGAAGCCTACACTCTCTGGTTGCTTGGAGGGGGTATCTGAGCTTGAAAAGGATCTCACTTCTGCTACAGCATGGGGCTCACAGTGGCTGGTAAACTTTAATTCAGATAAAACTCTATTTTATTCGGCCAATCGTTATCGTAATAATTTAGATCTTCCTATATTTATGAATGGTAATGTACTAGATGAGTCATCTACCATTCATCTTCTAGGATTAACTCTTACTTCTGATCTTTCTTTTAAACCGTATATCAAATCCATTGCAAAATTAGCATCTGCTAAGGTTGCATCTCTTTATCGAGCTCGACACTTTCTTACTCCAGATTCTATTCTCTATCTCTATAAATCTCAAATCCGTCCCTGTATGGAATACTGTTGCCACATCTGGGGCGGATCTTCTAATGATGCTCTTTCTCTTTTAGACAAGGTGCAAAAACGAATTGTAAACATAGTTGGACCTGCTCTGGCAGCCAATCTCCAACCTTTGTCACATCGTCGTAATGTTGCTTCTCTTTCTCTTTTCTACAAATACTATAATGGGCACTGCTCTAAGGAGCTAGCGTCCCTTGTGCCATCTACTAAAATTCATTCTCGTGTTACTCGCCATTCAATTAAGTTTCATCCTTTTTCTGTGACTGTTCCTAAGTGCTTCAAAAACTCTTATTCTTCTAGTTTTTTTCCTCGAACATCAGTTCTTTGGAATTCGCTTCCTTCATCTTGCTTTCCTGATTCATATAATTTGCAATCTTTTAAGTCATCAGTCAATCGTTATCTTGCTCTACAGATTTAGTCTTTTCTCTTCCAGTAACTTCCAACTCTTATAGTGGTTGCTTGCAGCCTTGTTGGAAGTGAAGTAGTTAAAAAAAAAATTAAAAAAAAAAAAATTTCAGCTCACTCATTTTATTATTCTCTTTCTCTTTTCTTTCATGTTCTTAAATCATTTATCTCTCTAGATACTTTCCTTGCATTTCAATGCTTTGCTACTCACTACAATCTTTACATTTTTTATACTCATGTAACCTTGAACTTTTTAATTCTTCTGTAAACCTGTTTCCTTGCTCTTTAACACTATTCTTAGTTTATAGTAAATTTTAACTTTAAAGTTAATTCTTGTTACAATTGAATTAGTTAAAAAAAATCAAGCAAGCAGATAGTTAATGTTATAAAATCAAAACTCTTAAAAATCAAATTGAAAACTCACAAATATCAAATAGAAACTCAAATTAAAATCATAAAACTAAACTCACACCAGAAAAGAACTTATTGTGTTTTATACAATGTTATGAATATAATGCATATTAAGGGGTAAACAGATTCTATCTGCTGACCAGCGGTGCTCCCCTTCTTTATCTATTAGATTTGTTTAGCACCACTTTGCTCTACCACCTTTCTCTTTGTTCTATATTGCTCTCCTTCATCTCAAGACTAGACTTTTTTTGATGCTATTTTTTATTATTTTTACCTAGCCATTTCTTTTTATGCTTCAGCCAATATCGTTGTAGTTGCTCACTGTAATGATCATCAGGCAATAAGACAAGTTTTGCGTTTTTCAATCTCAAACACAAAAAATTTTAAATAATTGTTTAAAAAAAAAAATGTTACTATTTTTATAAGCTAAAAATTAATGATGTTTTTTGTGGTTATGAAGACAGATAAGCTAATAAAGTGTGTAACATGAACAGTAGTTTAATTGTAGTAGAGTCAAATCTCAACCCTCACCTTAGTGAGTGGGGGAAGGGGATCCCGACCACTGATTACCTATAATAAAATAGAATTTAAAAAATAATGGCTTCATTTTGAAATTAATCTATTAGGTATTTAGATATTGTAGGGTGGCACTGGTCATGGAAATCATGGAAATCACGGAAATGTCATGGAATTTTATTTGGTCAATGAAAAAGTCACAAAATTTTTATATTTTTATTGAGACATGATTATAAGACATGGAATATTCATGGAACTTTTTAAAATTATCTTTAATTTTTTCTACTTGTGATAATTTTAGGATGCAAAGAAAAATTGCTAAAATGTCTAGTTTTTTTTGAAAGATATTTTTGCAGTGTAAAATATCAGAGAAGTAAAATAACAAGAGTTTATTTCAGATTTCAAAACATTCTACCAATTAGTTTTTGGTTTCTCACACTTTTTACCAGTTATGCTATCTAATAAATCTATCTGTTGCTCAATTTGTTTAACTTTCCTATAAAATCATTTTTATATACCAATTAATACCAATATTTCTTTTGATTTTTGTTTTTATAAATTTATTTGCCTTTTTATTTTACATGTTTAAAGTTTAAATTTCTTATTTTTAGTGTCT